TCAGAACCTTGCTATTCGAGAGACTTATATCACCCATACCTAACCTTATAAAAACTTTTTTTTTTTTTTGGTAGAGACAGGGTCTTGTTATGTTGCCCAGGCTGGTCTCTAACTCTTGGCCTCAAGTGATCCTCCCACCTTGACCTCCTGAAGTGCTGGGATTACAGGTGTGAGCTACCATGCCCAGCCAATCCCTAACCTTTTGAGGCTGATATTGCAGAGGAAAACCACATCTTCCTAGAAACTATCCCTCGGTGACCTGAGATAAAACAGGGAGGTGGTTGAAGGAATAATGAAGCTGACCTGCTTTATGGCCATTCTTAAATTCTTACCCTGTTATCTTAATGGAGTTCTCAGGCTACTCGGATTCTTGGGGATAGAGACATTTAAGATTGCTATTAAATCTACTGCATTTATGGACTATTTCCAGCCTAGGATCTCCTAAATTCTAGACTTAAGATATCCTATTGAGACACTTTCAAGTATTTGTCCTTGAAACTCATATATATAAAACTCAATATATACCCAACTAAACTCATGTTTCCCAAAACCTGCTTTCTTCTTTTACTCTCTCTGTAAATGTCATTGTAATCCACAAAGTCACCAAAACTAGAATTATGGATATCACCTCTGCCTCCTTCCTAATAACATTTTCCCATATCCAATCAGTTTCCAAATCCCAGATCCTCGTTTAGTATTTTTCCTACTTATCATCTCGTTTCCATCTTCACTAATTACTTGAATTTTGGCCTTTGTACCTTTCTCCTGGCTGACTGCAAGGGTCTTCTTGCTGGTCTGCCAACCTCTACTCCATGCTACTGTCACTGTGGTCTTTCTGAAACATGCCTCTGAACATGTTACTCTCTTATTTAAAACCCTTCCATAGCTTCTTCGGCATAAAACTCAAATCCCTTAGAATTTGCAGACTGGCCTAGACCTGCCTCTTGGATTACCAACAGCTATATTTTCTTTTTTCTTTTTTTTTTTGAGACGGAGTTTCACTCTTGTTTCCCAGGCTGGAGTGCAATGGCCCGATTTCGGCTCACTGCAGCATCTGCCTCCTTGGTTGAAGCGATTCCCCTGCCTCAGCCTCCCGAGTAGCTGGGATTACAGGTGCCCGTCACCATGCCTAGCTAATTTTTGTATTTTTATTAGAGACAAGGTTTCGCCACGTTGGCCAGGCTGGTCTCAAACTCCTGGCCTCAGGTGATCCGCCCACCCTGGCCTCCCAAAGTGTTGGGATTACAGGCATGAGCCACCATGCCCAGCCCGTATTTTCAAATAATGTAAAATAGCTTTGTGGAAAAGCAAAACAAAACAAAACACACTGCATTAAATATTTCATGGGAAAAACTAATATAAAGAAGAAACACAAAGAACGGAGCCTATAGTCATAGTCATTAATCATTGACAGCTGACTCATGCCTGCATGTCTAAAAATTCTTACCTTTTTAATGCCAGTTTCTTTCACAGGTGACCTGATTACAGTGTCTCTATCCCCTCTGTGTCTTACACCTGTTTTCCAGCCCTCAGCCCTCCCAAACATTGGCCCCTTCCCTCTCTATTCCCCTCTGGCTCCATTCTCCCTTCCAGCCTGACTCCACAGCCACAACTCTTTAAGCAACATCTTCAATTTGGCACCCCTTGTTCTGCGGTCTCAAGTTGAACTGCTACCATCAGTACCGCAAATATCAGCCATCTGTACTAACTGCTCCATTACTGGGGCAACTAAGCACTATGGAGAAAATTCATTGGCTATGGGGACTGATAGTAAAGCAAATTTAGAATCCAAAATCTTAGCTGGGCCTTGGCAGCTCTCTTAGCTCCCTGGACAACTCAGTCTTGTTGAATATATAATCACTGAGTGCTTGCCATGTGCCAGTTTTTGTTCTATTACCTCTTTTGTTCTGAAAATGCTTTTATATCCGTCATCTGAAATCACTTAATGTAGATCAAGTATAGAAAAAGAGATGGAATTAATTTGATTGCATTATAGTAATGTTAAGAATGTGTGAAAAATGACCTCATAAAATGACAATATTACCTACTTGACACTTCTTAAATACTCAATGCCCTGTAATGCTGGCATAAACTTGTGCAAACTGTTTTCTGTCCTGGGGTGTCCCTACCTACCTCCTGCGCTTAGTAAATTCCTAGTCATCCCTTAAACTTAGCTTAGCATCCCCTTCTCAGTAAAGATTTCCCTGGTTTCTAAGGAACTGTGGCTAGGGATCCTATCCTGTGTGCCCCAGTGAAATTGTATGCTGTTTGCCTGTCTCCCACATAATCAATGAATCCCTTCAGAGCAGGGGCTGGTCTTTTCTAGCTTGTTAAGTCTTGGCATGTGGCAGGCAATCAATACACATGTACTGAATGAATGACTGCATCCTGGGACCCTGGAAGAAATAATTCCTTAACCTCCTAGTCTCAATGTCCTTACTCAAAAACATGGATAATATTTACATTACAGAGTTGTTTTAAAAATTGAGAGACAGTCACATTCATGAAATCATTTTCACAAATGATAATTTCCTTCCTTTTGGAATATGAACACGTCAGAACCTTGCTATTTGAGAGACTTATATCACCCCTAGATCTGCTTTGCCACCAGATTCCCAAATGCCAGCAGAGTATACAATTTCTCTCTTAAAATATCTTTTTTCTTTATCAACACTTTTCAGAGTGAGTTTCATTCTTTTACAAGAGTTGGTGGATATTTGATGAGTTGTAGAGAACTATGAAATAAAGTTTAGGGTAGGTGGTTAGGCTGACTTACCAGCTGTCTTCTTCATAAATTCTGATCTTATAGTATAAAATTGGTGCTTCAAAAGAATTATACAATCTATGTCACAGATCTTCTGCTCAGAAAATATTAAAACTAGGATTTAAACTTGAGACTAAGGATCTGCTGTACTCTTGTTTCTCAAGTAAATTAAAAAAATTTATATCATGAAAAATTTAAAGATAGACAAAAGCAGAGAATAGTAGAATGAAGCCCTCCAGCAGTTATTTATATCTTCGTACTGGACGAAGATACTCAGTAAAGTCACTCGATTGCTCTGTGCCTCAGTTTCCTCATCTGTACAATAAGAACTTGGATTACAGCAACACTTTTAAAACTGGTTTCATGATATCTTTTAGGGTCTTGTAGAAACAGATAGGGGAGAGTGCCCAGTAGAAAATTTATTCTCATCTTACCTAAGTTGGAGGGGATATAGAGTAAAATTTTATATACTAAGATTCATAATATATTTGCTTTATTTTTTGAGACAGGTCTCACTCTGTCACCCAGCCTGGAGTGCAGTGGCATGATCTTGGCTCACTGCAACCTCCACTTCCTGGGCTCAAGTGATCCTCCCACCTCAGACTCCTGAGTAGCTGGGACTACAGGTGCACCACCATGCCTGGCTAATTTTTTAATTTATTTTTTGGTAGGGACAGGGTTTCACCATGTTGCCCAGGCTGGTCGTGAACTCCTAGGCTCAAGTGACCCACCTGCCTTGGCCTCCCA